TTCAGCTGCAGTTATTTGAATAATACTCCTTTTCTTCTACACGTCAATCCAACAGAACGCTTTTAAGAACTTTGACTAAGAACTAACACAATGTTCAGCATTTCATGGTAGTAAACGTGATATATTATGAATCTGTTGACATACAACTAATAAAATTATATTTACCTTTTTCATCACATAATATTGGATTATTCTAGTTCTCCTTAATAATCCTCTACGTCTAAAATAAATCGATGTCTTTATCTTTGCATATTTAGAGATTAACTCATCAGCTTAAACGATTCACTTTAATTATCATTAAAATAATGAAAATTATTTCGTCGATTTTGACTAATAGAAACATGTATGTGAACATGAAACAACGAATCACTAAAGAAAATTGAACATTAAAAATTCTTTATATATTGGCGAAATATCTGAAGATTGTTGCAGTAACAGTAACAATGTATTGAGGATACAGATCTCTTTGGAATATTTTATTTATTTAAGGGATAGTAGAGCAACTAGTTCCTGTTGGCTCCCTCTAGATGATCACTTAGAGCAGGTTAACCCCATCACAGCTCACCAGGAACATGATTCGAGGGATTATTTAAATATAGGTTGTGTTGTTAGTTTAGTTGTATTTGTAATTACTTAATTAATTAATACTTAACAATGCCAATTTTGAGCTCGCTTTGAATGTCGCCAAGGGCACGTGCCTCACTTTTTCTATCATAGATAAGCCACAGTTCTAGCGCATCCAGAAATTTATTTTGGAGGAGCTTCAACCTGAAATCATTTTATTATATATATATATATATATATATATATATATATATATATATATATATATATATATATATATATATAAATGATTTCATATAAATGATAAATGATATATATCAGATAAATCATATATATCAGATAAATATACATATTTATACATATACATACATATACATATATACATATTCTGGCGCGAAATAGCCCTGACGGACTACGCGACTATGAAACTGGTTTCTTTTTCAATTTCTTCCTTCCTGCCCATCTCTGTTTGAGGATATCACTAATTTTTTCTTTCTCTCCTCCGTCCAATTCTCCTGGACGGAAGTTCCTTACTGTCCACCACATACACCGCACTTTTCAGGAATTTCTTGAATTCTGTCCTATTCTCACACCATTTCCGTGTTATCCCAAGCTTCTGCATTTCCTGTTTTATTTGTACCCTATATCCATGGCTAAACTTGCATCCCATAACCCTACTGAAAATCTTCTTGTTTAACCTCTCCTCGGTCATTCTTTGCATGTGTCCATAAAACCTATGTCTTCTTACCCTAATTTCCGTTCCTAAATCAGAGGTTTCACTGTAAATCTCCTTATTGGATTTCATTCTGTGTCCTTGCGGTGTTATTTTGGGTCCATGGATTCTTCTGAGAATTCTTCTTTCTATTTTCAGCAGACTGGATTTCCCCAAACTGGAAAAGAACATTTTCTTCGTTCCATACAGTATCACTGGCTTCACCACTGTATTGTAGTGCCTCATTTTGGACTTTTTGGAGAGGCATTTTTTATTATAAATGCTACTCATTAAGTAGTATAATTTCTTCAAATTTTTTATCCTGTACTCCATGTTTCTTTCTTCGATAAATTTCTGCTGATTATTTCGTCCAGGTATTTAAAGCTTTTAAACACCTTGATTTTACCGAATTCTGTTTTTATTTCTGTCTTTCTAAAGTTGGGGGTTGTGGTCATAAATTAAGTCTTCTGGAAGGAGATTATAAGCCCAGTTTTCTCAACTACATTTTTCAGGGAATGTCTCATTTAATTGCCTTATTTAATTGAGAACAACGTTGAAGAGAATAGGTGATAGTCCGTCCCCTTGTCTCACACCGGTTTTTATTGGAAATGGTTTGCTTATATTTCCTCTTAATATATATCCGTACATATATTATTACAGTAAGGCTCGAAATCGGTTTTGTACCAAATATAAGCTCCTGTCATGCTCAAATACCATGAATGGGGTACCGTTGGATTCAGAATTTCACGAAGGGGGGAGGGTAACGAATCGTATTCTCCACTTTTGTTTTTCTTTCTAAAATGAATAAAGTCGATACAAACATTTTGCTAGGCTTCGATACTGGAACGGTGGTAGGTCTGTAGATCGATACCGGACAAATTGGATCTTGAAGATTTTGATGCGTACAGCAAGACCCGGATAGTTCCTCCGGAACTATCGGATCCTGCATTTTTAAGCCCCAAAACGTATCATTTTCGAGATAACGCAAGGCATGGTTCGCATCCACACAACCTGACGTTAATTGTAGTACTGTCATTGGATACATGTCTCATTTCATCGACTTGAGGTCTCTATGATCGAGAGAGGAGGAGTTTATATTATTTATCGATGATGTTTTTGATCGGTAAGCCATATCATTGTTTTTCACCAAATTTCAAGATTGAGCCACCAATTTCGAAGGCTTCCTTCTCCTTCAGGCGGGAAAAATATTCCAATCACCCCGAAAATTCAGGCAAACAAGTTATGAAAAAAATAAAACTTTATTTGCGAATAACTAAAAAATTACACACTTTTCCCTTGGTTATACTCATGATCATATAAAAGATTACTAAATCCCCTAAAAAAGGAAAAAAAAATCATCGAAATCGGACTATTTTTAACAAAGATACAGCTTAATTAAATTTGTGAACATGTTGGTTCCAAACAAAAATGAAGATTTAAATTAATTTTGTTTCCTTTGTGGATTATATTTATGGATAAAGTAACAATTGATTTCTTTATCTTTTGATACGTTGCATTATTTTCTTTTCTTATTAATTTGGCATTTGATTACAATATGCTGTGCGAATTTTTCGCACGGGCCTACTAGTATATATATATATAGTGGAAGAAAAATAAAGAAACTAACTACCTATAAGAAATGGTGTTTAAGTGATTCTTAAGTTCCTATTAATTAAGTTAACCTATTAATCCTATCAGTTAACTAGTGTTGCCCAAATGCGAGACCGAGACGAGTCTTTGTCTTTTCAAATTCAGTCTTGGTCTTGCCCAAGAGTCTCGCAACAGTCTTGCAGTTACTTACTAGCTTATTACTATAGAGATATTTTGAGATAGGAGAGATCTAACTAAGCCCAAATGAAAAATTAGAGGAGTTAAATACAAAAGTATATTGGTTATAATAATAATTATTGACATATAGTAACTAAGATTGTCAAGTATTAGTAACTATTTTGCCTTAATTTTTATTTAAAAAATCGATTTTCTTTATCTGTCCCCTAGTTTTGGTCTTGCAAACAGTTAGGCGGCCTCGGTCTTGGTCTTGCAAAGTGCCTATTTTATCTTATCAATAAAGTAACTTTATTAGAGAAATGTTGAATAAAATTAAATTCAAATATTACATAATATAAACCAGCTTAAGAAATAAATTTAATTTTTTGGGCAGGGAAGATGACTTCATAGCCCGGGGGCGCCGAATGTCTAAGGCTGGCACTACTATTAACTATTATTAAATAGTAATTAACGAACAACAACAGTTTTTAGAGATAGTTTTATTTCTCGTAAGAATGGATATATTTTACCATTTTGGGGAGGGCTTCAGTCCGAAAGCCCCTCATCGCCCCTCCGTAGATCTGCCTGTCAAAGCAACTATCTCTGATTTTTTTTTAATGAAGATTTTCAACAGTTACTACTTTCAGCAATCATCCCGAATCTATAAATAGTATGATGTGGTGATGATGAAATCGGCGGGCGTACAGTGGTTCCAAATGGCGAAAAAGGGGAAAAAATACTACTTTTTTAAGTTCTTCTCTGGACTAAAACTACCAATACCCATTCAAAACTTCAGGTCTAAGCTCATCAGGGTCAGATTTTCAGGGTGCTAAAATAAATTGTAAGTCGTGAGTTCAATTGAACAATTGGAAAACGTGCACAAAAGAGGTTGAGTTTGGATAAAAAATAATTTCAGTTTTCACTGCATTGGTATAAAATCGGTCTTTATTTCTACTTAAACGTTGTTCCATTTTTAGAGGATGGAAATAAGCTTTTGTTGAGCAAAAAAAAACATTTATTTTGCGCATCAGGAACCATTTCAAATTGCACCTAATTTTGAATGATGCAGGTTACTTCTGTGCATTTGCTCTACAGCAAACTTTTCGATTTCTTCCATTTTTTTGAAAATTGTTGTAAAACCATCATTGTGATGTTTATATCAATAAATAATAAAAGATAACTACCACCTGAGAACCTTTGGAATTGATATTTAATGGCGTTTCTCTATACCTGTGGTACAGAGGTAAACATGATAATAATTATTATGAACCTTAACAATAAACGATAATGTAGTACTGTGTCATACATTATGCATTTATTAAAAGAAATAAAAAGGAAGGATAAAAAAATGGTCAGGATGTGGAGTCAGAAAATTGTCAAATACAAAAATATGGATAATGTAACACAATAATAACAAATGGACAAGGATTAACAGGTATGTGTAAAAAAAAAATAATAATAATTTCACACTGAATTTTATATTGAATTCCTGAATTTTGGTTCAAGTATAAATAAAAAAAAATTGGAAATATTATTTTGATCGCGGAAAGTCTAACATTGACATTTTCTGAATAGGATAAATGTATAAATAATCCTTGATTATTCCAGTTCCTTATATTTTTTGATAATATAATTTTATTTTTCAATAAAGAATTCTCACCGATGACTAAAATATTCTTTAAATTAAATTAAATGGAATGATGTAGAGAAAGAAAAAATATATTCCAGCCTTCCCTGGCAACTTATTTGAAAATATATTTAAATATTTTACAATATAATTCCTCCAAGGTAATTACCTTAAAAGATTATGCATATCGTATAAATCCACTTAGATAATTCTGTAATCTTGCAGTATTTGTAATGTGACGTTGAATTCGAAAACAGTTTTATCTAAAGAATGATCAAATACCATAGCGGGGAGGTATCTATTTAGACTGAAAAGAAAGACGTCTGAAAAATGGAAACAATGAAGAAAGCTTCATTAATATTTTTATTATTTTATATTACTCATGTTCAGTGCACAGACGATATAAACGTTGCATCAAGCAAGACCTTTGGGGGTATTTAATTCTTTTTTAAAGCTATTTAGTGTTCTAATTAACAGTTTAAATAATGCTATTTATAATTAAATCGCCATTTATTTCAATTACAGTGGTATATCAACTCTTCCTTTCATTCATATATTATTAACATACATATTGATTCAGACTATATGAGTTACCATTCTGACTTTACTTGATAAAATTAATCTAATTGTTGTTGTATCGATTGGTTCAGACAAATATTTAATTAAATGAGAAAATAAGAAAAACAATTTTTTTTTTCAATCTATTGTTCTAGGAAAAATACAACCTTTGCGACCATGCACTGCATGGCAATGCTGTCCATCATTTTTCCAATGCTGTTTAAAGGATGGCATATGGAAGTGCTGTCGTGGACCTATACCGTGAGTGCAATAATTTTCCATTTATATTATAAAATTTGTGATATTTATATAATAATATTTTTAAATGTATTCAAATATTTAATAACTATTCTTTCAGTGTTTCACTAACTGTGCCTTGCAACTAGAGTTGGATCTTTCTATATTTCAAAAAATGAATTAATATTATTTATGGAATATTATTAAGTGGAAAAACTTGTAAAAAAAAAAATTACAACCAGAACTTTTGTTATTTTTTTAAGAATCCTCTCAGCTATGGACTAATAAGATGTATTAAATGTAATGGACTAAGCTGGTATAAATACTGTTCAAATTACAGATAGGATTAAATAGTGTCTTTTATCAAACTATCAGATATGTTTTATTTCGATATTATAAATTTAAAAAAAAATACTTTGAATCATCATTAAAAAAACATTTAAGAAATCATACACATCCTTTACTTATCAAAATTATATATTAACTGTTTGACTTTGGACGGGATACATGCCTTCCCAACTTGATTGTCGCTACTCAAAGAGGTAGGAGAAGGTTTCGCCTTCAGTACTCTTCTATAGTTGACTCAGTGCGGTCGTTCCGGATTCTGAGCATTTGGAGGCTATCAGTCGAAGATTTATACTGATCCCAAGGTATCTCCTTTCTCAGTTATTTATATCATATACATGATGTTAATTATATTCCATTTAAATGTTTTATACATCAAATAAATGTTAATAAGTTAATTTTGTAACTTTTTTTTTTAATTTAGGTTTTGAATGGATGCTGATTATGGTACACGTGAATCTAAAATTAATAAACATAAAAATATACAGAGTTAAAATGATACTTTAGTTGTTTTATTATTTTTCCATCCACATAAAAACAATATATATACAATATAGAAGTATTTGAAACGCAAAATAAATGTAAGTTTTTTAGGTAAGAAAAAATTTGTAAATATAAAGAAATATATAATTCGAATCCTGCCGTCGCACAGTGGAACCAATGCATCTTTTTGGGGAAAAAATTCAGTGAAAGCCAAACAACATGAGACAGGTAACAGTTGATGATTAATTTTTACAGCTCTGTTTGTGATAAATCGATTGATACATGGCACATGTTCGTGCGTCCTTCTTGATAATTTAAGGACTAAAATATTAAAAAAATAAAATAAAATTCTTAATTTTTCATTCAAGACGAAAAACTTATTGCTAAATATTTTTTGTGTATTTATATGTATTTTTATGTATGTACGAAATTATTCATAATTTTCTATAAAAGATTCATTAAAAATATAAATAATATTTTTTATAAGATTTTGAATAGTTGTAAAACTTGACATCTTTTTTAAATGCTACATATGTATATTTCCAATGCATATATAAAATGAGAACTGAAAGATTATATATATGCATAAAATTTACGTAAAAGTAAATATAATATAAAATGATAAGTGAACAAAAATTTAAAAATATGTTTCATTTGAAAAATCTATTTAGAATACGTGAAGGTAACGCTTCCTTATTTGACCAAAAAATTCTGAAAGCTAGACTTCCTTTAATAATTTATGTGAGTGGTGCTAATATTTCGCCCTGCTATCCATTCTCCACCACTCAATCTGCTATGTGGTTATAACCAGTAACAATTAAATACAATTTTAATGCACTCTAAAAATGAATACGTTGTTTTCTTTACTTATTAGGTAGTGCCAACATTTCCTTAAATTTTTTTTTCGGTACCTCTACTCCCAGATTTGAAATATATTTTTTCGTTTACTCGACACATTATAAATAAAATTAGTTCAACCAATACTTATAAAGGAGGTTGGTTTCTGGATTATGTATCTCATTTTAGGTTAAATTTATGTTGAAACGTTAAAGAAAGCAGTTACTCAATGATTTTAAATTATTAGCCCTAAACATTTCTGATGTAAATCTCACCACACTTTCAAAATATTGTTTCTCTGATAACTATGATTCCATTAAATAATTGTAGCTTATTTTAATATGTATCCTACTACAATTTAGTTTTAAAAAACAATATTAAAGAATTGTTTCAATTCAAGTTCACTTTATCATACTAATGTAGATTTTTAGAAAGAAAAATGTCCTAACGACTGAACCATTGAAACTCAATTTACTCACAAAGAAAATATAAATATATTTTTTACAGGTTGGAAATCTATTAATGGCTATAATTAAGTATTAAAATCGTTTTATCAGAGTTTTATTAGCAATTAAGTTATAAAAAAATATACCAAAAGGGTAGTCGCGGCTAAATTGTCTCTGAACATGTTTACTAGTATCCCGTGACAATATGAGACTGAAATGGAAGGTGATTTCTGGCAGCAAAATTAGATATTCATTAATTAAGTAAAAAAAAAATGTAAAAATAACTCTAAGAGAATGAATTTTTTAAATCCTTTTACTATCATCGAGTATTAGGGTTAGTTAAAAAAAAGTACATATAGGGCTCACAAAAAGTACTCCGCACTGTTATTTCCTTGAATTTTTTCTTTCCCTTTCCGCTATAATTTAATATAAATCATTATCACATTTCATTCAAATTATTCTCCCCATAACATTAACTTTGGAATTAAATTTCTTCATGAGAAACATTTTTAAAATAACCATTCCTTGTACACCGGATGTCACCAGTAACCACCTTTTGTTGTCGGTGTCCTTTTTTTTTTTTTTAATAAATAATTTAATTTAATTTTTATGATTATTTTCGGTTATTTTGCTTTTCAGAAATGAGCAAATACGCAATATAAAGCGATGTGTTGCCGGATTGCCGCTAATTTTTTATTGCCATGTGGGGCCGGGAAGGCATATGTCCCGTGTATTAAAAGTTAAATACAAAGGTTAAAATGCATTTTTGGAAGCTAAGATCTTGCAGGGTGACTCAAAAAAGTTTTTTAAACAAATTTAAGCAACAAAAAAAAAAGGTTTTCTGAACGTATTTTTGGATTTCGGGAAGCGCCATCTGGTAAAAACACTCGAATGAGCTCCCTAGTCAAAGGGTTAATGAAGTAAATTTATACAATCATAATGGTAAGTAGGTAATTGAAGACTAGAAAAAGTCAGAAGCATGATTCAACGGAAGTGGGTACATTACTTATTGTACAGACCAAAGATGATAACAATATTAACAAATGTTGTTCCAGACATAACAAAAAAAGTCACACCCTTATAACTTTAATATAATAAAAATTTCAACATTTTTTTTGGAAAGGTAATAAACATGAATTAATGTAAGAAACGTATTTTTATTCTAGTTTAAAAAGCATCTAAGAATAATTACAATATTTAGACTTTATGCACCTTTGCCTGGCTTAATGTCTCTAAAAGTATATTAGTAAATTATATATCAGTGAAGGATAATCTAGAGTGTTGTTTGAAGGAAAATGTGGAGGCGTATTGCTGAACCGAAATATTAGGTGGGCAAATTACACCTTTCGGTTTATCAGGGTGAAATAAAACTCATTGGATTACAGACATAAAATTTATTTTAATCTACAATATATTTATCATTATTTAATATGACTTTTCCCTTCTTACCACTAAATGCATAATACCATGTTCATAGAATGTCAGGAGTTTATTGTTAAAAAACTGACCCAAGAGGTTTTTTATGTACTCTTCCTTTTGGGATTTCTTTCCATTCTTGGATTCTGCAGAGACTGCGATAAGTGGTAGTCACTTGGAGTTAGGTTCGGTGAATAGGAAGGGTGGAGCAAAAGGTCCCATCCAAGCCTCAATAATTTATCGCGAGTGGCCAATGAGGGGCCTAGCGTTGTCGTGGTGGAACACAATATCTTTCTGATCACTTATAACTATTCAGCATGTTCTCCAAATTCGATGTTACTATATCCGTTAGAAAGCTGAATTATTTATCTTCAAAGCCGTATGAATGGTTTTTTGATTTAATGCCTGCATAAAAAATAAATAAACAAAAACTCCGAATAGGTTTTTATTTTTTATCTCCATTTTTAGTTTGTTAACGAAGGTTCTGTTGAAGTCATTTTGTGTAGTTTATGTGACCCTAAATTTTTTCTAGATAGCTATAGTCGTGTTGAAGTTATAACATGTTTGTGATTTTAGAAAAAAAAATCATGTGAGGGACCCAAACATTAAACCTGGAAACATAGCCTAGCTTGTGTAAATGGTTCTCTATGCTTGTGTGCGACACATTTAGGGCCATAGCAATCTCGACCAAGTATATACGCTAAGGGCGATTATGGAAGGAGGTTATGAGTGTAAGATGCCAACCCAAAACCTAATCATCTATTTCAAAAGTGCTTATGAGAGCATAAAGCGAACAAACCTGTATGAAGCACTATCGAAAATGAATGTCCCAAATTAGTTGATTCGCCTTGCGAAGCTGACAATGAAGGAGGCGAGATGTCAAGACCGAATACAATCTGATTGCTAATCCGAATTCCGTTCTGACAAAGGGTTGCGGGAAGGAGATGGCCTGGTTTGTCTTTTATTTAATTTTGCGTTGGAAGTGGTGAGAGACTCCGGAATTCAGAGACTTCGGATGCGAATCGGTGCTACTGAAGATCTTTCAAAGCACGCTTTTGAGCAGGCAAACCAAGCTTATTCTTTAATCCAACGTGTTCTTACCACTTTGCGCCGTTCAATTCAATATTCCAAATTAAGTGAAATGTAACAATGTAATATTATTATTCTCTCATTTTTCCAAATGCCGTGTTTATGGTTATGTTGATGATTTTGCATGCAACCATTAGCTAATTACTAGAACACCTATTGCTAAGAAAGATTGTTGGCTACTTAGAGTGTCGACCTTAGATATTCGGCGCCCCTCCCCGGGCAATGACATTTATGACCCCTCTCCCCAAAAAAATTAAACTATATTTCAATCAACATTTCTCTAATGCGCTTTGTATTGTTTAAATTTCTAAGAACTGGCAAGCGCCCTAAAGGGCGTCTCCTGCCAATTGTTCCACCCTAAGGCCGGCACTGGTCACTAATTGCTAAGAAACTTTATCCAGGCATTAAACTGAAGATGCTTTTATTCGACAGTTGTTTTTATTGATTGCTACTTTCGTTTTCACCTATTCAATCAATCATATGCCCATTCTCATGTACACATTATATAAATAAGATAAGAATGTGTTACACAAATTTAGAATGTGAAAGCTCATATCACAGCTAATAGATAAAATGTTTATAAAATTATCTGTCTATAATTTATTGCAGATTTTAAAATAATTTTTGAAGTAAAGAATTAATCATAGCAACTATTTCTGTTTTTTTAAATCTTCAAATCTCCATCTGCACTTGTCTTGATGTGACAATTAGCAGATTCGTTGTTATGTTACGAAATGGAATTATAGGTATGATGAATAATAATATCCAACAGCATTTCTTTCTTGGTCTTTGTTTACATCCTTAAATCAAGGATATTTCTCATCCAGCTCCTTTTCAGTCCCCTGATAAGCAGGTCGTTAATAAGTCTGTAGTATCCGTCTAGTTTAATATGAAAACGGGAGTAACGACTAAGTATAAGTTTGTCGACAGTTTTCTAAGATCAGTATGTAAAGTTTTGTTGTTTACGTAACAAGGGGCTTCTGTTTTATATTAACAAGATTGTAGTTTTTGTAAGTGAGTCTTTTTTGTTGAACCGTATGTCCAAATTAGTTCGTGTAAATAAGTTTATGTCTGATTTTCAATTTTGATTAGGAAAAAAGTAAGTATAGTATAGTTTTCTGTTTTTAAATTGCATAGAGATAGTCCACAGCTACTAGATAAACTTCAATTTCATGATTAGCTTTCAATGATTTATGACCTCTTTGTTCCAAATACATAACCTCCGGGATTTTTCTCTTATCAACTAAAAGTTTATATTTAATAGATATTTAGTTTTGTCTTGTCTTTTTTTCAACATCTGAATTAAAGTTTAGTAAATATGTCGCGGTATACAGAGCTTATGAAACTTCAAACGAAGTATTCAATGAGAATGAATTATCTCAAAAACAAAATATTTGGTGAAGTTACAAGACCAACTAATTCTAAATCAATGAAGGTATTAATTTTTTAATAATTGTAAATCTTATTAACTTTTTCTATTTTACTCACATTCTGTATTTGACGAAGTAAGCATTTTTCTCAAGGATTGGAATAGGAAACCAGTAAGAAGACATTGTCTTCTGGAGCTAGGAAGTAGTTAGCACTTGAAATACTAGTGAATGATGTGAAAGTGTCTGGGAATACTTAAAATAAATCTTACTAAAAAGTTCATTAATTTTTTCAATCTCATTTCGTGCTCTACAGATAATCCTCTGTACACTAGGCATCCATAGTTGAAAGTAGTATTGAAGTAGAAGATGATGAAGTTGAAAACTATTTGAAAATGAGTACTTCAGGGCAGTGTATCATTGAATCTTCTGAATTTTAATATTTTAAAGCTGTTGAAGGATTGAATTGGATTTTCAGGTATTTTAAGAAATGTGGTTATTACAGTTTAGGTATTGATCATAGGTGATTCTATATTTTGCTGTACAGGGTGTCTCAGTTCTTAATGGACTAGGTTTGGAGGATGATTCTATACAAAATTTCCTATCAAAAAGCTCATTTGATGCATCAGCCAATTTTTAATAGAAAAGGAGTTAAGACCAATTTTGTGTTTTTCTTAAGGTGGTCACGTTTTTTCATTAAATGAGAAGGAATTGCTTACTAACTGTTCAAGATAATGAAATTATATTATCGCAAAGTTGAAAATTTTTTTTTGAGAAAACAGTGATTAAATGTACTAAGGCCAATGATAAGTGCCTTTCAGCAGGTCTAATACGGCTGCTGCAGTTACAGTACCTATCAACTAGCAGCATATCTCTGTATTCCTGATTTATGAAATCATTTGGCATAATGGTCGGCTTTGCACATAAACATTAACTAACGATAAAAAATTGTTCTCTTGATGTTAGATAAGATATTGAATAGAGATCATAAGTAAGACGCATTTTTGTAAAAATATCTATTGTAAATCTTCGCATGTCTCCTCCAATAATACAATCCTTTCTATCGATATAATATGTGTAGTTTGACTTTCCTATTGTTCCACCATTATTGCTTCCCAGCATTTATTAGTAATGGATATAAAATGATTACCTGGCACCATAAAGATTTGTAACCTTTAAATTAAGATTCTTTTCTTTTACAAATATATGGTTTAATAACATAATACCCGATAAATCTCTGATTTATTGAACAACACGTCTTCACCTTAGTAAATTTGATCACTGTCTCAAAGAAAATTTTTTCTACTTTATGGTGGTGTTCATACAATTTAATTACCTAAAACAGTTTTTGAGAAATTCCTTCTTTTCAATAATTAATGTGGGCACCTCAAGAAAAACATAAAGTTGGTCTTAACTCCTTTTCCACTTTGAATCGGCCCATGCTTCAAATGAACTTTTGGTACTTGTTTAATAGCGGGTAGCGTCAAAACCTCGGTTGTTATCTAATCTTATTTCACATTACCTCCCTTATCTCCTGTAACCTAAGTTATTCCCTTGTTTATTTTTTGTTCCTTGTGTAAGCTGTGAGTTAGTCTTATTTAATTATGGATGTTGTCACATTGTGGGAATTGCCTTATTCAGAAGAAGTAGCTATCAAATATTTTCAAAACGCCTGAATATTTGGAAAGGTGAAATATTGTGATGGTCATCAAATGAAGTTCGACGGGAAGATTAAATGGAGATGCTTTCGTACGCGTAACAAAACCGTTTCTATAAGGAAAGGAACATGGTTAGAGGGGTCGAGGATTTCTTTTTCAATAGCTTTAAAATTCATTTATGGGTGGTCCCGTAATTTAACAACAATACAGTGGAGGAAAGAGTAGCTCAAACTATCCCAGACAACTATCGTAATTGTTCATATTTTGTTTATATTGTTTCTTTTATATGTACATATGTCCTTTATAGTCTTCATAGTGTTTCTTTTATATATACATATGCTGTTTAAGTGTTTTTTTATTATTTCATTTATTTTTGTCTATTTTTATAATTTCATTTATTGTTATATAAATGTTGCAATGTTTTTTAATTATATATGTATTATGTTTTGGTCTATTTAATATATATCTTGTAAAATAAAAGTATTTTTTTATTATTACATTTGTTTTTGTTTTTGTTCACAATTTCAATAATATCAATACCATACAATAAATATAAACATGAAGATATAATAATATGAATATAATACAATAAATATGAATACGAAGAGCTTATCAGAGTTACGGTTTTTTTTTTTTTTTTTTTTTTTTTTTTTTTTTTTTTTTTTTTTTTTTTTTTTTTTTTTTTTTTTTTTTTTTTTTTTTTTTTCTGTTCTTCCCTACCTCGCCTTTTAGGTTATACGGGATTTTCCCGGACCAGAGGGTGAGAACGGTTATAAACATTGGCAGATAGCAGTCGGATGCTGCTCGCTATTATACAAGTACCGAACTTTTTTTTTGAAATTTTGTCTAGAATCACCCCTCAGAGTTTGGCCACTAAGAACGGAGACACACTGTAAAATTTTGGAGTTGAATAGAAATATAGTATATGATGGTTATGAGTATTGCCTTAATTTTCACTGGATTCAGACAATTAATTTTCCAAAGCCTAGAACTTAATACTATAAATGCCCTAGAGCTTATGAGCAGAGCCCAAATTTTTATGTAGTTGAAACCTGCAGAATAAACCATATTATATGCAATATAAAACTATGTAAAGTATGCAACAAAAAATCCCCAGATATGCTCTGAGAAAAATAAAATTTTTAAATATCCCAATATGACTACCTTAAGAAATTGAAGAAAGGATTAAAAATTATATTACAACTCAACATTAGTACAACGGTTAGAAAGCTGAATTAGTGCTCTTTGAACTCGCATCGATAACTTTTAGATTTCATTTCTTTTTCAACTAAAACTTAAGAAAAACTTCTCAATCATCTTTATTTTATATCTTTGATTCTAATTTGTTTATGGAGGTATGTTTTGTACCATCTATCTTGTGTAACATATAGAGCTCTAAATCCCTATTATTTTTTTGTGGATCGGTGGAGCGATTTTAAAGTTATTACAATTTTTGTGTTTGTGGACAAAATTTCTAAAGGCCCAGCTTAGGTGAAATTTTAATTTTTCGATTGTTATAAAAAAAAAATGTATTAAACGATTTTTTGAGGTGAAAAAAATTATTACAAATTTTTTTTACCCCCAAAAATATTTACTCTAGATACTAGACCATTTTAGAATAAATATTATATTTGGCAGATAGCTACAATTTAGGCCAATCGACTTAGCAATTTGGGAGTAAACATTTTTTAGAGATAAATAAAGTTAGTAGTAGTATTTCGCACCTCAAACGATTAAGTTCAAGAGTAGTATTTTATTTTAGACTAGGTAGACACAACATATCGGCAACATGTTAAAATACCAAATGTGAACTTGTCCAATATTTCACATTTGTTATTTCAACATGGTGTCGACGATATGACCCTGATTATTTCCAATAAAAGATAGATGTAATTATGTAGACTCAAATTATGTTTATTATTACTTTTTTTAATTTCTTTCAGGTTGTGAAATTAATGAGTGAGCAACCAATACAAAAAAATCCTGAAAAAACTGATGCTTACTACCCCAGGTATGAGCAATTGAATGTATTAATGGACCATTTGAGAAACTATGGTCTATTTCGTGATGAACACAAAGATTTCCAAGAGGAAATGCGTAGGCTTCGTGCGCTCAGAGGCAAAAGAATATGGGGGACAGAAAAGAAGACGAAGAAGAAAGAATGAATTTAGTTAAATATTACTTAAAATTGTATATATTTTTTAGATATGACTGTTATATTGAAAAAATAAGTTAAATATTCATATATGCATATTTATATTAAATATGATTAAAAATAATCTAACAAAGGATGTGTTTTTTGGTCTGCCTCCTCTGTAATGGAAATTTTTTATTCAAAATAAATTTGAGTCATATGATTGAGATTTCAAGACTTTTGAATTGCTGTCAGGAAAATTTATATCATGCTTTCCTTTAACATCAGCCAAATTATGCTCTAGTTAGCTTATTAGCGGAGCCCGGATTCTTAAAGAAATAAAGAAAATTATATTGTGGGACACAGAGTCCTTTTTCGTATGGCATAAAACAATCATTACAAAATAATTAAATTATAAAATAAGATTTAAGGCAATTATAAATAAATGAAAACAAAGAATTATAATTTTTTTTTTCTTATGTCTCTCGACTTACGGTCTTCCGCCATATGGTTTCTAGCAGCAGCTTTAAGCTTGTATAGACTCCCTCTTCATCAGGCACTTTCCTGAAAGATGGTTGCCAACTCTTAGCAGGTATCTCCACCTTTTTTTTTATGGGATAGGATGGAGTCGTATGAACAATCTCCAACCTGGAGGACCAAGAACCATGGGGTAACACACAGAGGTCACTCGGGCACCTGTGAATCTGTAGGTGGGAATATTACAGTCACCATGCGAGAATCCACCATAGTGGTCTAAGCAATCGAGTACCATCTAGACTTATTTCTTATTAATGATTTATTTTTTATAGTTAAAATCCCGCTAACGGGATTTGAACTCATGCATAGTGTATTTTTGCAGGCGCCTTAATTCGTTCGACCACTGCGGCCCCTTATAATTTGCACTTGTAAGACATTTAAATGACAACAATAAAATAATTGATTGGTAACAATAATATCATAAACCATTAATCTTAAATATATTATAAAGATTGGTTGTTGAAAACACAAAGAATTTGACGTTGTTTAAATGAGATATTTTAGAAATTGGAGTGTGTAGGACACGGTTGGTGTATAACCTTTAAAATTAAAGATGGGGTCTTGTGTATGATGTTTGGTAAGGAATTCAAGTACAAGGTAGCACATAGGAAGTTCTATGTAAAGGAATATAAAAGTTTGTAAGAGAGGCGGGAAAAGAGGTTTATTTATCCATTAATTACAGTTTAGAGATAAAAAGGATAGAGATCATTTAAAACACTATTTCATATAAAAAGGTTTTGAAAAGAGGATATTATGATTAGCCAAATCAAAAGCTTTCATAAAATTTAAAAAAATAAGGATTGTGATTTTTTGTTAGTCCAAGAAACATTATCTTAAGTAATTTTCAATAATGCTTTGAATTATTAGGATGAAAAACCAAATTAGAGAGGATTAAGGAGAGTTTTTAGCTCAAGAAAGGTAATAAGCTGGAAGTGGACTAGTCTTTCAAGTGGTTTTGATTAATTGGAGGGAACGGAAATAGTTCTATCAAAGCCCAGATTTTTATGCAATTGCATATTGTTTGCATGCAGTTTTTAAACTGATGATCACATGCCTATACAAATAAGTACATCCAGATTCTTGACACAGACAGGATTCATGTTCGCTGTGCTCTTCAGTTGTTTACTTTAAAATGCTTCATAAGCTGTGTAATAATTAACATTTATATTGGATACATTCTTAAAGATTAATATTAAAGCACTAATAAAAATTATTAAATAAATAATTTAAAATACTTTTATATAGAAAAATAAATTGCATTTATTTCCTTGATTGTTGAATTCAAATAAGAAACATTGACGACATATAGATAGTATTTCTTTAACTATGTTGTTAAAAAATGAGGTGAGAAATATGTGTCTTTTAATTTCCAAGATTCGTAATTAATTTGATAACAACACCTAGTTTAAAATATAATGAATCCTTGTAGATTTTATAATTTTTTTTTTTTTTTTTGAAAAATAAAATAAAAAGGTGAGGTAAAGGTAACAATTTTTCCATCGGCACAACTGGAGTTGTAAAAATATTTCTAAGAAAGTAATTTGAGATTGAATTATTTTTACCTTGAAGGCTTCTTCTTATTCAATTTAGTTTCAGTTTCATATACTGATAAGAATAGTTTTAAACATGCCTTCACACTTCAATCCATTTGTTTTCTTAATGTGGCGTTTCCATTATACAATAACTGTTAACATTTAAGATTTACATTGTTACATTATTTCTATATCTCGTACATCAATAAATGGGTAGAAGAATGAAGGCGTGTTATTAAAATTATTCCTTCAAGTATATAAAGTTTTAATATAATTTGTGTCTAAGGTGAGGATATGAACTATCGATAGTCACTAGGGCTATAGATATATCAATAGTACTGTCGACTTTCACCCATCCCTTCTTAAATACTTAAAGATATTGTTTAATTAGAATTCCAATTTAGTGACAGTATTTACTGTACGTATATGTACTGTTGCCCTTTTGTATCTGCCTCAAAATTACACACTGTGTTTAGATTTTTAGTAATATAAATTGATAATAATACTATACATTTATAGCTGTTTTTTTTCACTTGTTACTACTCCAGACATATTGAAGTCAAAAGTATGTTTCTGTTGGGTGCTGTGTGTTGAAAGTTTTGTGTGAGTGTTATAGTTTTTAATTATAGAATTGCAATTACTTTTATGTTGATTAATTCTGTTTTTTTTTGCCCTATGTAACATGTATTTTGCTTATTTTTATTGGTTTCTTATTTTATTGGTGCTATTTTTACAATTCTTATAATTTATCTTGTATATAATGTCTGTTTTATCATTTTTATTTATTCTACCTTTATTGTTAATGTAAATGTTCTGAATTTTGTTTGTTGTTTTTCTGCTCAACTTTAAATCTGATAAATCATATTTTTACTTTCACTTACCTATATATGTAATGTACAGTAAGAGAAAATATTGTGATCCTAAAAATTTCCGAAAACTGAGTTTTCAACGGAAATAAACAGTTTGAGGTCCACTAAGTCTAAATAACCAAGTCCCACAAATTGGTCTGTGTGTATGTATGTGAGCAGTCTAGGTCAAAAACGAAAAGTCGTACAAAACTGACATTACGTATTTAAGATAAGTATATGCCTTGGATGTGACAGCAACTTTTTCATTAAAATCGACTTACTGGAAGTGGGACTTTATATCAATGATTATTCACATTTTTCTCAAAAACAGCTTTAACGATTATGATTAAACTCTGTGTATTATTGTATAATTAAATGGTCTTTAATATCATTGAGGTCTTATCCCCATTGATGTCAATTTACATGGCTTAAATGTTCAACATACCTTTCTCTAAAGTATCTTTAATTTGGTTTATTTTAAATAATTAACTATCTCTCATTATTAAGAGTTATAAAAAAATACTAAATATTAATTTTGAAAGAATTTTATAATTAAAAAAAAAAAAAGGGAAAATGTTTATTTAGGTCGAAAATAAGTAATACTATTCAGAAGGTATATTTATAATATATATATCGTTGGAAAGCGGAGAATTTCAGAAAAAAACAATGTCTGACATAGAAAGCTGTAGAAAGTAATGGAGAGTGATGAAGAATTATAAATAATAATTTGTGAAAACTAATATTATTTAACAGAAATCACAAGTATTCGAAAAATTAAATGAAGTTTACTAACTAAATGTAACTTTTTAAGAACTTTTAAGTTATTGAAAAAAATTATTTAAAAAAAAAATTTCCCACTCTAATAAAGCGAATTAAATAATTTAAAAAGTATTTTCATTGTACTTATGTGAAAGAAGAATTGAATATATAAAAACCTATTTTCATGGATGTAAAAAGCATATGTTATAACCTTAAAGACATTACTGTATTTACTAATTCTAGATCGATATTATATTTTAAAGATTAGGTAATCAACGACCATTTAATAACGAAACATAGATCATGTACCCTTTTAGAAAATTCAATTAGTGAATAATTTTGATGAATTTTCCCCTTGGTGAAATCTAAAAATTATCCACTTAAAATTAGTGTCACAACTTCTGACCTATCTATGGCAGGCAATGGAAATCTTGTAATTACATTTTAGTAAACTTACAAAGTAAAATAACAGTACAATCCATAATCATTTATAGGTTGATATAGAAATATACTTCAAATATCTCTAGGCATATATACTATATATATATAGTATATATATATATAATATAATAATAAACTATATATATATATATATATATATATATAAATATATATATATAATAACATGAATTATAGGCATATGAAGTACCGAGGTTTATATGGTCTACAGTTGATATAATTAATAGAGTTTTGTTATTTAAATGGTTTTATTGATTTGTTAGCTGTAAGCTTTAAGCTGTCGCTCCATTAAATGTGCACTTCAAAAATTTTATAATTGTCCAGCATAACCACAAAATAATTTCTATTCAAAGAAGAGAGGTAAGTGAAAGTTGTGGATTGTGCGCACCAGATTTTTTGAAATTATTAGTTATTTTATCTGTCAGACTACTGATTTGTGTTAAGGAATAACATTTTTTTTTTTTAGTTTATGTGTTGGAATTCTCTATTATTTTTTTTGACTATTTTCAACACTATTGGTGGATGATGCTTCATGGTTCATTGATTTAAAAAAATGGGTAATTATAGTTTTTGTACTATTATTAAATTGTTGTTCTATCTGTTTATGTTTGTTTCCCAAATTATTAAGGAATTTCTTATGATACTGATGACTATGAACATTTACTTCTTGTTTTTTATATGTTTCCCTTTTTCCATAAATCATTTTTTCTGGATACCAATTTTCAATTTTATAGAATCCCTGTTTATATACAAAGAAATTGTTCTCACTACACAGTTTAACACCTTCTATCTATAATTTAGGTGTGCGATTCTATTTTATCCCAGTCTCTTTTTATTATTTTAATTAGCTCTTTCATATTAATGTTTGTGAATAAACTTTCCACATCAAAACTAACCAAGAAATATTTGCTCTCCATTTTTGTTATTCTTATTAAGATTTCTTTTACCTCTATTGAATTATTAACTTCATAATTATTGTCAAACTTTTGGTTGTTGAGTGTTGGGTTAAGATATTACTAA